GGGGGGGCGCGACTCTGTGCTCTCGCCCCCGGGACTATAATCTTGAATAAATGAAGCCGTTGCGCGGAGGCAACTGCTGGAGAGGGGGCGGAAGGTGGAAGTTTGCTTGTTTTTGGAAGAAATGTATATCATATTCTCACTCACCTGAATAGTCCTTCTCTGGGAAACGGGGGAGAAAGCACTGGTTCGGCCCTAGGCCTCTCATCGAGTGGGATACCCCACCCGGATCCCCGGCGCTGAGCGGCCTGGGCTTGGAGATTTTAAAAGAGCCAATCGGGACGCCAGCCTTTCTTCCTCTCTTAGTTACTTTCTACCAGTTACTTCTGTGTAGAAAGTGGGTGAGGGAGCAGACGGAAAAATAACGAGTTCCACCACTGGGCCTCCTCCCCTAAATTGCCTCCCCCAAATGAGAGGGGGATGGAGGCAGCAAGAGTTCAATCGCCCCCAGAATGGTAGGAAAGGAAAGGCAGCGTCTAGCAGGCGCCCAGAAGGGAGGGGAGGGGAGTGTCAGGGACTTTGCCATTGAACTTGAAGTTTCAGGCTGGTGGTCTTCGCCGCCCCCGCCCTCAGTCTCCTAAAAGCTTTACGGTTAAAGGAAGGAAGGGAAGGGAAGGAGGGAGGAGGCAAAGCGGCCAGAGAAGGGCCAGAGCGACTGGAAGACGGTCTGGAGACGCCGAGGTTGGCGAGGGAGGGAGTGCGGGGGGGCAAACTGAATTCCGGTCCTAGCCTTTGCAGCGCCCATGTCTCAGACCGGAGACCAGCCCATTTCACTACCTCCAAGAGTGCGTTTCTCCCGAATAAGGTAAAATAACTGATTCATAATCTAAGGGCGTTACCGTTCTCTTAGTCTGGGACCCGTATCAAGAGGCCCTGGGAGGGTCCTCCCAGGAAAGTGGGGGCCTTCAGTTGTCTGGGCGGGCAGGGTTTGGGTGGGCGTCAGGCTCTTGTAGAGACCGCCCAGCGGAGGCCCCTCCTGGTTGGTTTCTGGAGAGACCCGGCCGCCCTCTAGGGCAGGAAAGGACAAAGAAACCGCTTCGCCGCGGGGCCTGCGCTGAGAGGCTGGCGGGTGGGAGGGCACAAGCTTGGCAGCAGAGCCCCCCTCATGACCTTGTTTGTCTCCGACTAGACGGAGTCCTAGCACAGACAAAAATATTGTT